AGAAGAAGAAGAAGAAGAAGAAGAAGAAGAAGAAGAAGAAGAAGAAGAAGAAGATATTGCAGAGTGGGAAAAATGTGCAGAGAACAACAACTGCTGCATCAATGAGGAATGTTTGTACGTTTGGCTTGGAAAAATGCATATCAAGTAGAGAGACATGATAGAGATGTGTAGAATTATGCAAGGTATGAAAAACTTGATGTGAAAATTTCTTCACAGTGCTAGATCCTCACATCATACCATGGAATGAAGGTAGGAGAGTCAGGTCAAACAAAACAAACCAGTTCTTCACACAGCATATACTTAAACTGTGGTATTTTTTATTGTTATCTTTTAAAGTAAAGTATTTGCTCATGCCTTTCACTGACAGTATCTTAAGATGCAGAGGTGGCTGCCAACTTGGGATGGCTTTAAAAAGTGATTGGATAAATGTCAGGAAGATGTAGCTGTCAGTGGCTACTAGTCACAGGGGAGAGAGATATAATCATGCCAGTACCATGGTATAGCAGTTAATGGGAAGCAGGAGGACGGCACTCATCCCTTGCCTGGGGAGTTCTCATCAGCAATGGCTGCCCGTGCAAGCCTAGACAGGCATTTTGTACGATCATGCACAGTTTTCCTAGGCTTTCAGGCTTCTGATACAAAACAAATACAAGTGGCAATAACAAATACTTCATACAAGTGCATCTACCAGTTTTTCAAATCTTTCCTTCAAGATTACTTTTGTAATTAAATGAGTTTCTTTGTATACCATATGATAAAGCCTGTTTGCTGTCAGCAATTCCTAAGAGGAAAAAAAAAGGAGAGCTGGTTGCCCTTCTGGGATAGATACTATATACTGGTGTTTCTTTGTATAACATATAATAAAGCCTGTTTGCTGTCAGCAATTCCTGAGAGGAAAAAAAAGTAGAGCTGGCTGCCCTTCTGGGATAGATACTATATACTGGTGCAGGAAATAAGCTATATAAGATGGTGGAGCTGTCTATTTTGCCATTGAAAGCCACATCGACAAGATATGCACTGTTCTTCCTACTTGGCAGTGCACCTGGTTGCTTTTGTCGTTTCTCTGATGCCATTGGTAAAGCACTGCGCCACTCCAACACAGTTGTTTTAGAAATGGTAAGTGGTATATAATGTGATTGAACAGATACCCAGACCTTGTTCTGAAGTAGCCTTCTGAATCAATAAAGATCATAATAAACCCTGAACTTCTCAATATGGCACTGCTGCAGTCACTGCTGACAACACAATTTCTAGGAAGGTTTTTAACAGTAACTTCCCATCCGTCTGTACATTTCTGGCTCTCATTAGAGCAATCTGCCAGCTTTCACTTCTTCCCATGTACCAGTAATTGGTCTCAGCCCAAAAGTTGTGAAGTGACACTGTGGATTTCACTTCATATCAAATGTACATAATCAGATAGTGCCACCTCTGTAAAGCCTATTTTCCTGGAGTACTGTTCACTCTGACTTATCAACATCAAGGCATCAAACATATAATTAGGAAATTACAGAGCAAAAACATGATAGGAAAAATCATTATGAAGAATCCAGCTCCCTTAGGAACTGTACCTGTTCTCAAATTTGTGGACCACGTGAAAAGCCTCTAAAAATTCATTGAAGTCAATACTACCATCTTTGTTAAAATCCATGCTACGGGCTAAGTTGTCAATGGATTCATTATCTATACTGATTTTCAGGTGCAGGCTGATGAGCTTCCATGTGTGGCGGAACTCATCAATAGAGATAAGACCTAAATGAAAGAAATGATGTCACTGGTGGTACCTAAGACATAGAAACATGGCTGTATTTTAATTTTATTGAGGAGCTAAAGAAATACAGAAATGCAAGAAGCCTCTGGGCTGGTATGGATATGCTCTAATAGTCACATCACTGTCCAGACCAAGTCACTTCATAAGGCAAGGAAGGGACAGGATGAATTTAGATGGATGGAAAGAGGGACAGCTTACCATGGAAATGCTGGTTAGGGCAATTATAGTTTAGATCTCCCTGTGGACATTCATAGTTCAGATAGAGGGTATCTTCTATCGTCCAGATATGACCAGAAATAATGACAAATATCCCCTTTCCAAACAAAATAGCACTACTGCCCAGTATTTGGGGAAGAATGACACAGGGTGGAACAACTGAAAACAGTTTTCAACTGTCACAAATTTCTAGTGTCAGATCAAAACCAAGCAGCTGCTACAAACATCCCTCAAAACTCATCACCCCTCATAGCATTCCACTACACTACTAGCACCCTACCTTCCCAATTTAGATACACCACTTTGGAAAAAATAGTGTTAACATACCTGAATGATCTCTGTCAATAATATTAAAGATTATCTCCAGATCAGCTTTGTATCTACACAGGGTTTCCACCAAAGATGGCTGAACCTAAGGAATATTGAATTAAAAATGAGAGCCCGACCAGGCTTAGTACAAAATTCCTTCATAGCAAATAGTTTCACATACTATGTTCATGCAGTTAAAAAAAAAACAGTAACTCTCCTAATAGTAGTGATAGTGAAGATAAATACACACAAAGTTTCTTGTCCTTGATATTAAAAAAGTTTCTCTATCAAAACATTGAGCTATTTTGTGGGGGGAAATGGCAGTTGCTGCAAGATTTTTCATGGTATTTTTTTTTACAGAAATAGACCAGTACTATTTTTGCCCAATATAAAAATTCACACAAAACATGTTTGTGTGTGCAATATATCTTGTATTTTTGTCTGAAACCCTGGCTAGTTGCCTAAATATGAAGCAGAAAGCAAATTGCCTAAGTCTGTGTACCCCCACCCCCCACCCCGCTCCAGTGGGCTCCCTCTTGTGTGACTAGATAGGGAGACTAACACAGTGGGAGGAGACATGAATATGATTTGTTCCTTCTGCTCCACATTTAGGCAATAGGATGCTGACCCCAAGGTTTTATTTGCACATCAAATATCTCCATGATTTTTTCCTCCAAGCGTGGTGAAACAAAAAACACAGAGAGCCTTTTGTAATCTCAATTAGCAAGGAGAAAACTGCAAGAATAAAGCAAGATTTTTTTATCCCTAGCTGATAGGCGGTGATCCAGCATTTGCGTTTCAAATTCTAATAGCAAGCATGTGTATTCTCTTCTTCTTCCACTAATAAATAAATAATTTCATTTTATGAATGGGAGAATGAAGTAAGTGAAGATTTCTGTCGCTAGATCGGTGGTTCCCAGCCATGGTTCCCCAGATAGTCTTGGACTACAACTCCCAAATCGGTGGTTCCCAGCCATGGTTCACAGCTAGCTATGAAGGCTTCTGGGAGTTTTAGTCCAAGAACATCTGGGGAAGCAAGGTTGGGAACCACTGCTCTAGATGATTGGTAGTGATCCAACATTAATATTTCAAATTCTAATACAAATCCTATTATGTATTTCCTTCCCTTTCCACAATTAGTCGTATTTGACAAAAAGAGTTGAGGGCTTTGACATGCAGTGCACCATTTAGCTTAAACATGAACAATGGCTTAAACTTAGTGTAAACTTCAGTATGAGGGAGCAAACTCTGATTAATTACTAGCTGAGAATGAACCTATGAATAGGTTGAAGTGGCACAGGTGAGGGAATGCTGTAGGAATGCACTGAGTATGAGCCATAAGACTTCATCCCTGGAAAAATGCCAAGCTTTCATTAGATACAAATTGTTGCTGTGAATGCCAATGACTTGTATGGAGTTGCTCATGGGACATTAAAAACAAGACAGCTTCTTTGTCATGTTTAGAAAGAAAATGGTTCAACAGAAACCAAATTTTTCTTTAAAGTATATTATTCAGCAGCTTTTATAGGTCTCTGGCCATGGAGCCAGAGGTTGGAAGTTCAATCCCCCACTGTTCCTCTTTGGTAGAGGCTGGGCTGGATGATCCATAGTGTCCCTTCCAACTCTGCAGTTCAAAGATTATTATTATTATTTAGCAACCCAAATAAATATTTCTATTTCAAATAGACCAAAATTTTAAAATCAACTTATGAAAGCACAATAATGCCTCAAACAATATATAGGCTGGCATTTTAAAGAAACTACCAAAGAGTTGAAATAGAATTAAGGAATGTAAAAACACACATTGAGGTGCAATTTTGTAAAATATCAGTCACTTTCAAAATCATCTTACCTCTTTAATAGGTAGTTTGATTTCTAAATCATCAAAAGATGAAAAGTATTCAATGTTTCCATCCCGAGCTACATAAACCAGCCTAGAACGCAGAGTTCTCCAGGGAAGGTCAAGATGCAGGACAGATTCCATTGCAGAAGCCCACTCAGTGGGAGAAATTTTCCCTATAAAAACAATACCTTTTTTTTAAAAAGAACTCAGAAAAAGTTATAGCTGTTAAGCTACCTACGAGGAAAACAGGAATGAATAGTATTTGATTGAGCCTATACATTTGAAATATAAATTTTACTTCAAGAAAAATAAAATAATCATCCTAAGATGTTCAACAAACATAAATAACTCAATAGCAAAATGTTCATCTTAACCAGTCCCCTGTTGATCCCCAAATGCCTTTCACAACAGCCAGACAGTTTTGTGAACAATGTGAGAAGAGCCACAGTAGACGGAGCAGGCAGGTAATTTTATTTCCATGATATTAAACTGATATACTTAAGGAGCCAAGTCTAAATGTTGGGTGTTGCCTTACTTCGAGCTCGCTGCATTCTACAGTATAACACATTGTTCGAGCTGTCCATCCAGAGAAGCTTTTAAGGGAACACTATTAACTGTAGAAACAACAAGAAGAAAACTTTGTACAAACTCCTTTAAGTTAGACTCCAAAGCTAAAGTAATAGTACCTCATCCGCACTCAGCCTTTTGTTCCCAGCCTTTTATTGGGTTACAATACTCTTACAATAAAGAGCCAGCAGCTTACGAAAAACCAAAAGCAACCTTAAGAAGCTGTTTTCAATTGCTGTTACCTGTATCATTTGGATCATAGAGCCTAAAGGCTGCAATCAGCTCTGATTTATGTGCATAAAGTTTTTCTCGCAAACATTTTAAAGCAGACAACTCAATTGTAGTCACTCTGCAAAAAAAGTAATCAGAATGAGTAAACATCTTTTTAAGTATTTTTAATGTACAAATATTTCCTTACTTCTAAATCTCTGAAATTCCCTCCTTATCCTTATTCTCATATGATTTCCCTTCCCAAGGTTTTCTAGGTATACACTTGGAAATGGTTTATCCTTTCTTTCTTATGCGGAGCACTTCTAGGACAGTGCAGCTTGCCCAAGGCTACACAGTCTAGCTCTGGGAGGCAAAGTGAGGAATTGAACTCCCAGCTATGCTTTGTTCACTGAGATATCCAGCCAGTCTCTTCTAACAGATATAAGCAATGACAAAATTACAGGTATTAAAAGGTTGGATAAACTGGTACATAATCCAGACAGAAAACCTGAAAAACATAAACCTACAGTTAGAGCAAATGAGAACATTGGCATGGGTAGAAGAAGCTTAACACTTCTTAGATCAGTTTCCATGTTATACTATCAGTTAAAAGTGGGTTCATTTTCTTAGTACACATGTACATTGTGGCCATGGGAAAGGAGACAGAAAAAAAAACAGAATAGCATTTCTCACCACATGTACGCATAGCAAGAAGGTCTGACTAACTACTAGTACCCACTATATGTTATACAAAAAATACAGGTTTGTTTTCCGTAGTAATATATGAAATGCAAAACAATTAAAATGTCCATATTAGATTAAACAGTCTCCGTTTAGCAATTATTTGGCAGTATCGTCCTAGAGATCAACTTTAACGACACTAATACAAGTTAAGCACTGTAAGACACAGCACATAACATCATGCTAATGGCTTCCCATTTTTTGCAGGCAGTGAGAAGTCCAGATGTAGCTCTACCACAGGGTTGGAGAGTATGTGGCTCTCAAGAACATCGTGCTAATGGCTTCCCATTTTTGCAGGCAGTGAGAAGCCCAGATGTAGCTCTACAACAGGGTTGGAGAGTATGTGGCTCTCAAGATCTTATTGAACTAATTGCTGTTGTTGCCTAGGACAGATGGAATCGGCAATTATACAATATTTGCAGGTCCACATGCTGCCCATCTTTGTTTCTACAGAAATTACAATCCTTCAGGTCACAATACAGTGGGATAGCAATAGTGTCCTTATTGATAGCTGTTTGTTTATACAAAGAGAGATAGTGTATATTGGGAGCAAGCAGATTGCTAAAAAACATGGAGCACCATCAGTCATCCTACATCAAATCCCCAAATATGCCACTTTTGTCCCACAATCCCACACTGTTGTTTTAGGCAACTCCAGTCCTTTCTCCTATCTCCTACTCACAAACATCTAATTACAGTATTTCCTAAGCTCTCTCACCGGCTTCTAGTAACTTGCAGAGGCAAGGCAGAGATATTTCGCTCAATTCACAGGAATCTCAACCAATCATGCAGAACTGCCAGAAAACAGTACATTTAACAAAAATTGATCTGCCACTAGCTCTGGCATAGTGGACGTTCATGGACCCAGTAGGGATCCTACCACAGAATTTCTGGGGGCACCCTCCCTCCAGTCATACGCTGTCTATGCTTTAGCACAAGGTACAGTACAGTTAGCCTGTTTTGCATTTTCAGTTCCTATCCATGCACTTTGTTTGTAACTAAGATGCATGCTTTTCTTACCCTACCTCTGATGAAGTGTCTGCTTACGTGTAGATTTGCTGACTTGATACTGAACAAAACGAGGGATCAGATCTGGGTTTAGTTTGATGTAAGCCCCACGATTACTTCCCTCTTCATAGTAGTTTGAGGCGGAAAAAATTGTGATAACCTTATTTTAAAAAAAAAAAGGGGGGGAAATTATATGAAGAAATTAGGATTTTAAAATAGATCTGGCATAATCTAAAACAAGTTGCAAAATTAACCAACAAGTGAACATACACTTTCCTGCTTGGGAAAAAAAAGCACATAAGCATCTCTTTCCACAGCTGCACTGGGAAATCCAATGCTCATGAATCCATGAATGGAATCAGCTAAATAAAAAAATCAGGCCCTGTCCAGCAGTCCTTTTTTTTCTAGGATGACAGAGATGAGGTGTTTTGACCCATGCAAGAAGCTCCAGTAAGTAAGTAAGAGGGACTGAATTCCATGGCAGGAAGGATCCATGGTGCACACACATTCACTGCTTGTGTTTATAGAGCTACTGTCTCGGCCGAACCATTTATGGATCTAGAGAGGAGGTTACACCTCTCTTGACAGGTATAGGGGTGAATAGGGAGGGGCAGGGAAAGGCACGTGGAAACATACATGAACAAAGAGGTGTGCCAGTTTCTGGCACTCACTCTGTGGTACGGAAAGAGGTGGGAAAGAGTGGGAAAGAATGCAAGCAAAAAGGAAGACAGGACAATTCTTAAATTGTGACTGGATACTTTGAAGAGCAAACTAACAAAGCTCATTGCAAAAAACAAACAGTAGCCTAATAATAATTCTTTCCTCTGTCCATTAGGTTTCTTGTCCTGAAATTGGATATAATGCACTGGCTCCTCTGTTCTGTATTTTTCAGGAAAAAAGATAGGAGCTACGAGTATTAATAAGACAAAAGAAAACACTGTGCAGTTCTAAAGGATCTCACACATGGGCCATGATGGCTTCCACCCTCTTCTGGAACTATTCTCCTGGATTATACTTATAGTTAAACTGTACACAGATGATTACCTTTCCATTATGGCTAATCTCATAGCCTTCCTGTTTGCATTCATGAGATCGGATGAGCATTTTTAAATTATAACGTTTCAGCAATGTGGCAGTAATGTCTGGTCCAAAGTAGCAACCTCCCCCTCGATGTTTGTTTGGTGTACAGCCATTTTGATGTTTAGGATCACTCCAGAGAATATCCACCACCTAGCAACAGAAAACAAATTCTACTGTCTATACATGCAAAGTGTATATAAAGAAGTAGAAACAAAAAATATTGGTAATTTTAAAAAAACATTTTTCTTGGGTTTACTTCAAACTTATCTAAATGTTGTTGCATTTCTGGCAATTAAACCTCAGCACTGAATAGTTAAAATGGCATCGTGGCACAGAATGCTGGTTCATTTGTGAAAGCTGTCTGAATGTTCTCAGTATAGATTTGCTGTGAGTAGGGACAGTTTCTGCTCAACTGGGATTAAAATCTCCCAAAGTCATTAATTTAAGCCTAATGAAGATTAGAATGTCATTGGAGAATAGATTCTAAGAGAAAGAGAAGCTAAATAGGCAGATTTGATCTTTACTTTGCAACTTGGAAGCATGTATATGATTGTGGAAACAGAAACCTGATGAAGAAATGTCAAGAAAGTTTGCAAGTGATGGCAGGGGGAGATGCTAAGCCAAAGAGGTATACAAACAGAAACATCTCTTCCCATGTTGATAGGGAAAGAGAGATTACTCCTGTCTGGGATGGCCCCTGCAGACAATTAACCCATTGTCCACTGTTTTGGTAAACATATGGGGCAACGTACCTCTACAAAACACAGATTCTCCTTGCACATATGTTTTGCTATGAACATAAGGCCTCTTCTCATGTCCACAAAACGTGGCCAACAGGGAGCATAAGCAGCAGCCATCAACCCATTTTCCCCCTCCGCATGGGTTGGTGTTCAGTTGAACTGCTATACAAGTGATAAGTTAACCAAACAACTGGGGTGGGGGTGGACTGCAGGTCTCTGGTAAAAGTCATTTCACGTGTTTCTAATTAGTATCCTACTAATGCCACTTTAAAGCCTAATTTTTAATATTTACAATCATATACTTGAGGTGAATCCAATCTGTAAAACACAGCTTCAACATACCTGCTTCCACTCCATTTTTGTTAATTCTGGAGATGGGTGTGGTGTAGTAACACTACAAGGCTTTAAATGTTGCACCTCCAGATGGGGATGGGAAATATATCTGTCACAGAGGACATCAGGCTGCTCCCTGCTACTGTATTCTCTTCTCCCACCAGAAACTGATGTGGACCTCGTGGCTTCTTTATTGGAAGCAGCCTGCCCAAAATGGCACTTCTCAGATTTCTGTAGCTGATTATCAGCCTGTTCAAGATGAGCTTCCTCCAACTCAGAGATTACTCCTGTATTTGACTTTGGAGGTCTCAGCACAGACTTCAGCTGTGAAGGCAAAACACACATTCACCAGATCATACTTCTTGGTGCAGATGCACATATATTTATTACAGGATGCTGTTCCACAGAATTTCCAACAATTCTATTATAAAACTGTAGGAACTGCTCCAAATGCTCTAGGTAACTACTGATTTATAATTACCTTGGCAATTAAAAAAATCACAGAAACAAACTAGAACAACGTGAGGAAGAACAACCTTCAGAACACGGCCAAAGAGCCCGAAAAACCCACAACAACCATTAGATCCCAGCCGTGAAAGCCTTCGTGAATACATTTAACTAGAACAACCTTCAACTGTTTTTTTAATTTAAATTAGAGCTGTAAAATTCATTAATATATCAATGAAATCAGTTAGAATCATACTTATTAGTCATGCCACCAAACTAGTTATGGTTGTTTCGGGTCTTTCGGGCTCTTTGGATGTGTTCTGAAGGTATGTAAATTATAGTAACAAACTGCAGCTAGTTATGGTTGTTTTGGGTCTTTCGGGCTCTTTGGACATGTTTTGAAGGTTGCTCTTCCTAACATTTCACCAGTCTCTGTGGCCAGCATCTTCAGAGGACAGCACTCAGTGCTCTGGTGTAGTTTGTTTGGGAGTGGAACATTTATGGCTGGGAGATAGGCTTTTGTTTTATTCAGGGGATGAGTAATTAGTGTGTCTTAATGTGGTTGTATTGTTGTGATAAGGAGAAGAGATTATCTGTCACTGTGATTGATGGGTCTTTTGTATGTAGTGATCCCCTGTCCTTGTGGCTGGGGAGAGGTTGTTGTCCTTTTGCACGCTGTATTTTTCAGAGCTGGAAGCCAAGTTTTGTTGAGTTTCAAACTTTCCTCTTTTTGTTGAAGTTCTGCTGGTGCTTGTGGATTTCAATGGCTTCCCTGTGCAGTCTGATGTAATGATTGCTGGCGTTGTCCAGTATTTCAGTATTTTGAAATAGAATTTCATGTCCAGCTTGTTTTAGGGCATGCTAAGCTAATGCAGTTTTTTCTGGTTGTTGTAGTCTGCAGTGTCTCTCATGTTCTTTGATTCTGGTGTGGCTAGTTAATTACTTTCTGCTTCTGTTTCTTGTTACATACAAAATCAAGCAAGTGGTGCACAATGGATACAAGCAGTGAATTCTCAGCTAGTGGCAATTTGTCAGTGTACTTATATTGTCATAACTGACCAATATGATTCTGGCCATTAAATGATAAAAATAATTAACAGACCTCAAGATTCCTGATCTCACTGGTGGTGCTCTAGCTCAGTGGTTCTTAACCTTGGGTTACTCAGGGGTTTTTGAACTGCAACTCCCAGAAACTCCAGCCAGCACAGCTAGTGGTGAAGGCTTCTAGGAGTTGCAGTTCAAAAACACCAGAGTAACCCAAGGTTAAGAACCACTGATCTAGCTGAATTTTTTTTCTCTCCCTCTCCAAAGGCTCCCATGGCAAAAGGGAACCGTAGGGAGCCCTGGAACTTGAAACAAGGGATAGGTTTTCAATTAATTTAGATTAAATATTACCAACAACCAATGAGGATATCATTTGGCTCTGTATCATCACTTTATGCCAACCGGATTTTGACTAATAAATTTCCCTGTTAATGTTTCACCATGGTTCATCTGAGTTTAAATTTCCCTTTGAGTTCTTACATCTGATGCAAGAGATATGTTGTTTTTTCTTTGCCATTGGTGTTTTTGATTATGATGATCATCATCATTTCTTTTGATGATCATCATCATCTATTTTAAATAAAATTAAAATTCTGATTCTGTTTCTCTCACTTTTCTTTTACTTCTCATACATTATTAAGAATTTTAAGAATTTCATCACTCAACTGCTAAAGCTTGTTGATTTATCTATTTTAAAATACAGGCCTAGTTTTTTTGAATTCTTCTTTATAATATCTCTGATTAAAATCCATAAGTTTTCTGGTTCATAGTCATTTGATTTTAGTAATGCACATCTGTTCATTGCATTATCTTTAAATAAAAGGAATTTTGTTAAATTATATTTTGATACCATGGTTATTTAAATGCTCTTCTTCAGCTTTGCTCTAATATTTGATACATAAAGTTCATCATCAGCATCACAGTGTGCTCTTGGTCTTGTTGTCTACAGACAGAATAAAGTTTCTCCATCTTTTGCTTCCAGTTATAGAGTCTATTTCATTTACTGTGTTGGCCATCTAGCAATGTCCCTGCCTACAAGCATTTGTTTGGTTGCCTGTTGCATGTATTTATAATAAAGAAATAGCTGGCTTCACAGAATTCTATGAATTTGCTTGTTTTTGTTTTGTTTTGTTTTGTTTACTCCTAGGCCAATGTTTGGATCTGCTTTATTTCCTGCTCTCGTGTGCTAATTATCCATGGTTATCAACATATATTGTTTCAATGAATGATCAACTTCCTCATCAAGGCTGATATAAAAGTTTTCAATTTGTTCTTCTTCAGCATCAGTATTTGGAACATAGATTTGAATGATGGTATTAATGATAAGATTAAATGAAGTTAAATTGCTACTGTTCAGTCATACATTGCACAGACCCTGACTGCTTGTTAGGTATCACAATTACAGCTACACCATTTTTTCTATGTCTATTATTTCCAAAGTAAAATGCTTCATAATTATTTGATTGGACATGTCCTGTTCCAGTTCACTTTAATTTGCTCACCTCGGGTATTAAAAAGTTTATATTCTCCATTTTTTTACATATTAGTTCAGCTTAACCTTGATTCATACTTCTCACAATTCATATTCCAACTATATGTGTCATGCAGCATCTAACTTCTCGTTTCCTTTTGTGCTCATTAGCAATTAGACTTCCTTTTGATCTGAATCAAGGTTTTTCATCATTGACAGTGCTTTTTGTACTTACCCTTACCTCTCCCCCAGTAGCAGGCTGACTGCTTTCCAACCTGGGAGTTTCATCTTTCAGCACTACATCTTATTTCACTTTGGATTGGATTGCCATAGGTTTTCAAGATAAGTGGTTTATCGTGCTGCCTTCTGATCAGTAATTACCAAGAATTAGCTTGAGCATCACTGCCATTGTCCGTGAAAGATCCTCTAAAAGGATCATCTTTCACTGTTGCTGCTTCCCAATAGCTACCCTTCAATAATTTCTCCAATCCTCTCATCATTAGAACTGTCGGTCCTCTTTTGCTGATATATGTCATATAGAAGGCACAAAATTAGTTAATTAAAATATCTAGTTATCTTTTAGTATCTTAAGATACAATCCAGAGGAAGCCAAGTACGCTGCCGTCTCACACAAAATGATGAATTAAGTAAATACATTAACTTGCTGTAATGTTCTTTACAGTATTTTGTTTCTTAAATCTTAAAAATTTCATGAGATTTTTTTCAGACATTGAATGCAGAGACTCATTAATTTCAATAGTATTTAAATGTTTGTGAACTGAATTGAAACAAAAAATAGGAGAGTACCTTATAAATTCTTACCTTGCTTCGCTGAAATAAATTCAGAAAATGGAGATCAGTTGTGTTTGAAATCCCACCGTGTACAATAAGAACTTTGCTGTCAATTACAGTTGCAAGTGGAAGCCAGCTGTAGACATCTTGAAGAAGATGTAAAATTGTTTGGCCATGGCACTATTAAGTGGAAAACATGATTACATCCCATTCTTGGAGGCCCTAGGAATGTTCAGTATGGTAAACCTTCTGAACAACTTTGCATTAACTTCATTATTTTACGGCTTATGAAACTTATAGGATTAAATCTAATTTTAGTACCAATAAGAGTAGACTTATTGAAATTATGTTAATGTTGACAAATCCAATTAGTTTAATGGATTTACTCTAGCTGAAACTATCAAAACCCATAGAAAAATACTTAAATTTATTCAGGTAATATTATGTAGGTAATACTTGCAACATGTGTAAACCAAATAACGCATAACTTTCATAAAGAGTAAGGTGCAACTCTGGCCATAATAAATCAACTTTAGGCAGCCATTTAATATATGTCTACTCAGAAGTAAGACCTAATGGGTTTAATGGGACTTACTTTCAAATAAATAAGCATGGAACTGCAACCGTAGTAAATTTAAATAGAACTACACATTCTACACAATTTAATCATGTTAACCTAACAGGAGTTACCAAAAAAAAAAAGGGCATTAGCTGCTTACCCGGTACTTTCTCATAACCTCTTTTGTGAAACCATATCTGAAATGATAAAAGAGTTAATGAGCTGTTTTTATGCAAGAGTATTTCAATACACAGCTTCTGGTTGACATGCATTGCATGTACATAAAATATTATTCTTTTACTTCCATGTTTTATGTTCTTGATTGGGAATGGAAACATGGTCTCCTTTATCAAACTACAAGACCATAGTGATCTCCAGAAATCAGAAATTAAGGAGATTCTATGTATTCGCGAAGGCTTTCATGGCCGGGATCTAATGGTTGTTGTGGGTTTTTCGGGCTCTTTGGCCGTGTTCTGAAGGTTGTTTTTCCTAACGTTTCACTAGTTTCTGTGGCTGGCATCTTCAGAGGACAGCACTGGCCAGAGCACAGAGTGCTGTCCTCTGAAGATGCCGGCCACAGAGACTAGCGAAACGTTAAGAAGAACAACCTTCAGAACATGGCCAAAGAGCCCGAAAAACCCACAACAACCATAAGGAGATTCTATTGCCTTCTTCTTTGGACTCAAAATATAAATTCCTAAATTGTTTAATTTGGAGGCATGACTCTAGTTACTGTTCTCCACTTTGGAACATTTAATGTAAAGAGAGACAATAAGTGTTTTTGTCCAATCTGTAGACCAAAGCAGTGGTTTCTAATCTATGGGTCTCCAGCTGTTATCAGACTGGAGTTACTTTCCTCATCACTAGCTCTTTTGGCTGAGTCTGTTAGGAGCTGCAGTCTAACAATATCTGGGGAAACCACTGTCTAAAGATTAAGAAAAATAGGTTGGCTAGTACTTATATACATTATAATGATAAACAATGTATTTACAAGAGAATAGTGCCACTGTACAGTACTTAGTCATCAATACAGTTTCTAAGTACTTGGTGAATGCAAATTCTATGTAAACTCTCAGTGCTGCTTCAAGATCTTCACAGACTGACCCACACGTCTATCTAATTGAACTAACCTTAAATGGTTAGGACTTCAGTCTACAAGAGTCTACACTCCAATGAACTCTTAGGATCTACTTAGTGTACACTTATCACATGCAAATAATGTAACATTGCACTATAAAATAATTTCTTTTCCAATATGGCTAAATTTCATATATAGCGAGCAACAAAACCTTGCGGATCCAATATTTTATTTACAGGTTCTGGGAAATCAGCACAGTTAATAGATAAACCTTGAAATAATATAAAAACAATGCTGGTACCTAAGATTTATGATGTAGTCCTCATGATTGCCTCTATTCAAGTGCAAATGGTTGGGGTACACAAGAAGAAATGCAAACAGGATAATAAGTATTTCAATGGAATTTTTTCCTCTGTCAACAAAATCACCATTAAAAACATAAGGATTTTCATCTGAAGGAAGGCCATTCTGTAGAAGAAAACAAAACAAGTCAATCTGGAAAGTGCAGCATATGTTAACATCAGATAAGAGATGAATGATCAACACTGCACTGCAGAGCTATATGTGTCTCCACATTTCACCTGTTCTTGCAGAATGCTCTTTTGTAGCAATGCAACTTTGATTAGTTGCTATATCTGTGAAGGGTTCATATCAAGACCTTGTCACAGGATGAAACCACCAATCACAGTACTAATCTAACCACAAATCCATCTGCTAAGCAGCTGTGTTCAACATCACTCGGTCCATAAAACTGTTTATTTGACATTCCACTCATTTATTGGCTGAAATCTAGTAGTATGCCACAGCTAGAGAAAGACCACTGACTCAGTGGGGGATTTGATGAGCCAACTCCTCTGTAAGTTCCTTTGATTCAATGGCTCGACTTTAGTTGTATCTCACTATTGCAACAATTATCACGCTACAACAGTTCTCTAGGTGGTTAGTAACAAGAAATAAAATCATAAATTGTGATTAAAACATAAAAGCAACTGAATTAAAAATATGTAAATAAAAAAGAAAGAAAACAGACATGTTTGTATGCAACATGGAGGTCCACAATTAACTTCAAAGGCAACATATACATTTCAGGTGAGATGTCAAATGTCATCATCATCCCTCTCAGTGAAAAGCCCTGGTGTTTGGACAGAGTGAGCAGTGGTTCCACTATGCTTTTGGGGTTAAAGGCTACAAGAACTGTTCATATAATATATCTCATTAACAGATATAAATAGTTCCCTGCTGACTCCACCCTTCCCTAACAATAATTGATGATGTAAGGGAGGATTTCTATGACATGTCATGTTTTTTCCTGCAACCTATGTAGGAATTTGGTGGCGCTGTGGGTTAAACTGCAGAAGCCTCTGTGCTGCAAGGTCAGAAGTCCAGCAGTTGTAAGATTGAATCCACATGACGGAGTGAGCTCCTGTCGCTTGTCCCAGCTCCTGCCAACCTAGCGGTTCGAAAGCATGCAAATGCAAGTACTGTAGATAAATAGGTACCACCATGGTGGGAAGGTAACGGCATTCCATGTCTAGTCACGCTGGCCACGTGACCACGGAAACTGTCTACGGACAAAACACTGGCTCTACGGCTTGGAGACGGGGGTGAGCACCGCCCCCTAGAGTCGAACACGACTGGACTAAAGATCAAGGGGAACCTTTACCTTTATCTATGTTTGCACTTATGGGTAGGTTTGAACATGCTTATGAGTAATCTGGTGGAAAAGTCCAGATTATTCATAAATATGTTTGAACTTGCTTATGGGTTCAAATGTAGGTTGCAAAGAAAATGTGAAATGTCATAGAAATGTCATAGAAATCCTCCCCCTTCATATGAGCCACTCAGAAACCCTTGTAGAAACAGTAGTGATAATTTTTTCCAATAAACAAAGAGTTGGAATTTAGAGACTGCCAAGATATGTACATGCTTACTCAGCCTGGGACATCTTTCTGCTACATGAGTCTTTCAGGCAGTTTTAGATCTGACTTTTCATGTACATTTCAAATGCCATAATTGCATTTTGTTTAAGATATAAATATGGTATTCTTGTCCCAATTTGTTTTGCTCTAACACCTCTCTGGTTTTAGCAAATGCCTTTTGCAGACTGGTTGACAAGGAATGAAATTCAATTTATAGCACCAGGAAACAAGAACAAAAAATAGCTTTCCAAAGGTTTATAGAATTGAGAATCGCCACTGTCTTATCTGAATACCTTTTGAATTTGTATTTAATTAGCTTCCCTTTGCCAATCTGTCTATTAATTCCACTCCACTATATCTATATGTATAGCATCAATTTAATACAATTAATTTAGCAACAGGCAATTTAAAGTATTAAAGGTAGTGTTACTGCATGTGGGTTTTTAAAGGGAAATCTATGGTGGGAAATGTATGAAATAACATTCTGTATAAGGAATGAAAGTATCTCCATGTTCTCTGCTTTAATTAAGCAAAGGTGACTAATTTAATTGTATTAAAGATATGTTCAGCTTCAGAAAACATTAGAGTCATCATTTAAGGATGTTTAACTGCATTCCGTCCCCTACTACCTCCAAAGATAGTGTTGACATGCAAACAGTCATTTTGAGCCAAACGGGGCCTATCTGGCTACGGTAGCTACCTGCTTTGCACCCCATTGCAGGGCACTTGCTAGTTCCTATATGTGCTGGTGCTCAATTTCTAACACACACACAAAATGTAAAAAGCAGACAACAAATGCTATGTCAGTTAGAAAAACTAAATGGAAAATGGAGATTTAGCAGAGGATGAAATGACCTATTACATTCCCGCGTCTTCTTCTGGTGCCTTCAAAATTCATAAAGGCATCTACGCCCCAGAGGATTCTAACTTCCTATATACTTTTCTGAAAATTATTTTTATTAAATGACTTTCTTTAGGTGAACCAAAAGCATGGGAGGCAGTAAGAAAAGCAGGACCTCTATTCATAATGAGTTTCATTAACATAAGTATACTATTAAAACATATACCAGATCTCTGAACTCTTAAAGAGGTAAATTATATCCGGGGGAAAGAATTTGACACATATTGTAAGAAATAAGTTGATTTTGTGACCATTTAAAGTGCTGGCTCTTCAAACAATTAAATGGCCAGGGGCCTGGCTTTCTATCTCTCTTATTATGAACCCGAGGTCTTTCTCCTGCATGGGTCGCCATCCAAGCTTCCCTCTAAGGTGCGCACATGCATATGCGTGACTCCACCCTCTCCCCCCAAAAAACACGGTGTTCTTCTTCCTCTGTGCAAAAACAGCAATAGTTTTCAGGCTGTATTCTCGAAGGCTTTCATGGCCAGGATCTGATGGTTGTTGTGGGTTTTTTGGGCTCTTTGGCCATGTTCTGAAGGTTGTTCTTCCTAACATTTCACCAGTCTCTGTGGCCGGCATCTTCAGAGGACAGGAATAGGAACTCTGTCTGTACTCTGTTGTAGTTTGTTGGATAGTTGAGTATTTATAGCTGTGGGAACAGCTTTTGTCCTTTTCAGGAGACTGGGTGATTATGGTGATCAGTGTGTTTTTGTTGTGGATGTATTGTGGTGATAAGGGGGAGAGATTATTTGTCACTGTGATTGATGGGTGTCATTAGCTGGTCTTTTGTGTGCAATGATCCCCGGTCCTTGTGGCTGGGTAGAGGTCGCTGACCTTTTGCATACTGTATTTGTCAGTGCTGGGAACCAGGCCTTGTTGAGTTTTAAACTTTCTTCTTTTTTGTTGAAGCTCTGCTGGTGTTTATGGATTTCAATGGCTTCCCTGTGCAGTCTAACATAATGATTGCTGGTGTTGTCCTGTACTTCAGTATTTTGAAATAGAATCTCATGTCCAGCTTGTTTTAGAGTATGTTCAGCTACTGCTGATTTTTCCGGTTGTTTTAGTCTGCAGTGTCTCTCATGTTCTTTGATTCTGGTGTGGATGCTGCACTTTGTGGTTCCAATATATACATGGCCACAACTGCTAGGTTTCCGATATACTCCTGCAGTGGTGAGGGGGTTCCTTTTGTCCTTTGCTGACCATAACATTTTTTGTATTTTTGTGGTGGGTCTGAATACTGTTTGTAGGTTGTGTTTTTTCAAAGGTTTCCCCATGTGGTTCCAGTTGCAATGGAACCTTGCATAGAGGAGTGGAGTCACATCCACGTAAGGGCGGAGCCCTGCCCAGCAGGGCTGAAAACTGAAGGAAACATTTTCCCATCAGTTTCCACTCTCAGTTCTTTTAGGAATGGTGCAAAGATACATCTTTTTAAATTGATTTATGATATCATTTAATTTATTGTGATTATTTTAAGTATTTGTAGAAAATTGTGATGTTAATCTTTGTCTTTACCGGAATTTATATGTTGTTTCTATTATGCTTTATGATTTTCGGCACCTTACCTATTAGTACAAAGATAACATAGATACTGAAGAAAACATATTTCTGTTCTCAACTAAATGTAAAGAAAAGTTTAAACTGTGAACTGTTTCCAGATTAGCTGATTACCGTATTTTTCTGTGTTTAAGATGATACTTTTCTCTAAAATATTTAGATAAAAAATTTAGAGTCCTCTTATACACAGAAATAAGGAGGGGGGATGGATCAAAGCGCTTTGATTCCTGCTTTCCCCCTCCACTTTTTGCAAATAAAGTGAAGAGGGAAAGCACTTTCCTAGCAAGAAAGTGCTTTCCCCCTCCACTTTCCTCACAAGAAAACACTTTCTAGTGAGGAAAGTTCTTTCCCCTTCCACTTTCTTCCAAAGAAAATGGAAGGGGAAAGCAGTAATCACTTCGATGAATTGCTCTAATGATTCCTGCTTTCCCCCTCTACTTTCTTCTGAAGAAAGAAATTCTGGTTTAAAAATGTGTGTGGGGGGGTCTTATACATGGGGGTGTATTATACATGGAAAAATACAGTAAAATATGATTTTATTTAAAGGGATACCCAAATAGTTGTCTCAACATTAGAATTAGAACATATATACTTCCAAAAACGGAGAAGCTTTTAAAGATTAAAAAAGACCTATGTATTCCATTTTTTGGAAATCACATTTTTTATGTTTCAAAACAACATGGAGAAATAGGGAATTGGTGGCGTTAGGTGCCATGAGTTCACTTACGACTTATACCAACCTTATGAAATTGGGACCTTTAGAAGATCCTTCCATCAACAGCCCTGCTCAGATCTTGCAAACTCAAGGCTTTTCTTTTTTTATTCCAACTATTTATTACTTGGTCTTCTTTTCCTGTTGCCTTCCACTTTTCCCAGCATTATTGTCTTTTTCAGTGGATCTTGTTTTCTCATGATTTACCCAAATAATGATTGCCTCAGATCTCTCATTTTTGCTTCTAGAGAGAATTCAGGCTTGATCTAGAACCTACTGAGAACCTTGTTACTTGTAGTTCTGGAAGTCCATGGCATCTGTAAAGCTCTTCTCCAACACTGTATTTCAATTTTATTTATTTTTTTCCTGTCAGTTTTCTTCACTGTCCAGCCTTCACATCCATACAGAGTGATCAGGAATGTCATACCACAGACAGCTTTCACCTTGGTCTCCAATAATACATCCTTACACTTGAGAACCTTTTCTAGTTTCTTTATAGCTGCCCTTCCATGTCTCAATCGTCTTCTGATTTCTTGGCTCCACTCTCCATTTTGACTGATAATTGAATAGAAATCTTTTAACACTTTTGATTTCTTCATTGTCAACATTAAAACTATGTAATTCTTTGTAGGCATGGTTTTTGTCTCCTTGATATTCAAGTGCAATCTTGTATTTGCAATTTCTTCTTTTGCAATTTAGGAGCAAAGGTTAAGGTGGAGCGAAATAAAACTGTGCTACATTGTTTTACCTTCCCTACTGTCACCGCTTTTCTCAACATAAGGAAATGTAAACAGTACAGGTGCTGTCTGCTATACTGTATATTAGTGCCCTACATGTTTCAAACTGGGGTTGTTCATCAGGTCTTGCAGAGTCAATGATTACCGTATTTGATCTGTTTTTAATGACCAGTATCCTATTGAGCTTTTACTGAGCAAAAACCCCAGCGTCATTTTAATGTGGAACTGCACTGTTCATGCAAACATGACTACGGTGCAAGTAGTGAAATCTGCAGGAAGAAAACTTGCTCTTTAATTGTGAAGTGGCAATTTAACAAAACATGATTCAGGGAAAGTAGCATCTCAGTGTATGAGGGTTATAAGTATATTCTTTTATATTATTTTAATGATATTAGAAATTATGTGTATTCCTTAATATATGCAAATAATTATATTAGATAAAATGTTTGGAATAAAAGAAATTATTTTATATCTCCTGTCTCTAGTGCATAGCATAATACTGTGTTTTCTCGAAAATAAGACAGGGTCTTACAATAATTTTTGCTCCAAAAAAAGCATTAGGGCTTTTTTTCAGGGTATATTTTATATATATTTTTTCATGTACAACAATTTACATTGATTCAAATACAGTCATGTCATCTTCTGGTTGCTGCACAATGGTGGTGGGTGGGGTTTCACTTCACTAGGGCTTATTTTTGGGGCAGGGCTTATATTACGAGCATCCTGAAAAATCATACTAGGATTTATTTTCAGGTTAGGTATTATTTTCAGGGAAACAGGGTAGTACATGGCTGTTTTTCTTAATAAACAGTTTGACAGCACATAAGGTATTTGACCAGTCCTCTTTCTGGAGAAACAAACAACAAACAATTTCAACTTCTGTTTATGCTTGACAAAAACAGCAGGGATCCCTTCTATTTAGGGTTAACATTTTCAAGTCTCTTTTTTAGATTGTGTCCTCTAATCAACAGTTATAATTAACAGAGTGCTATGAATGCAAAGATGAATGGAAAGATGGCCATAGGCCAAAACCTGATATTACAAAATGATAACAGTCTTGTACAGACTGTGAATGTTCATTTGTTGTTGTTGTTGTTCTTATATACTATTAAGTTCCCTCAACTCACGGTGATCCCATGATCTCCAGAATATCCTGTCCACAAATGCCCTGCTCAGGTCCTGTGAACTAAAGCCTGTGGCTTCTTTTAGGGAGTCAATGCATCTTGCATTTGCTCTTCCTCTTTTCCTGCTGTCTCCAACCTTTCCCAGTATCATTGTTTTTTCCAGAGAATCCTGTCTTTGAATTATATGACCAAAGTAGGGCAGCCTCAGTTTCACCATTTTTGCCTCCGGAGACAGTTCACTTACTTTATAAAAAATCAGCAAAAGATCATCCAACTTTCCATGCAAATCTCCTAGGAAAAAAGCAAAATTTGCAACAATCATATACAGGTAATCAGACAATGTGAGTTAACAGGAAATATTGGAACACCGGCCACAATTATTATCCTCTGCAGTTGTTTTGCACCAATATAGGTTTCTGCAGTCAAGCCATATTGCTGACACATAAGGCAGCAGAATAGTACTACAAGTTTACAATTGTTTGGCAGCCCATCCCTGAGACTACTCTACTGAGGTAGCATATTTTAATGTATGTATTATTTATAACAGATTATAACAATACTCATTCCCATTTTCATCATAACAATGTACATTATGTGCAAACATATAATAAACAAAGGCGGTGACAGTAACCAGGTAGATGAAGCCCACAGAGTGTGGCAATAGCAACAGGGAATGTAAGAGGAAGCAGCAGTCTTGATGATGGCATCATGTCGCAAAAACATATAAAAGGTACAATAATGAGACATACCAACTTTGTAAATCCAAAATTAGGAGACTGACATTTCATTACATCATATTTTTCATAATATCTGCTACCTAAATATTTATGCTAATCTAAGACGGAGCAATAATTTCTGGGCAGCGTGTTATTTAGACTTGTTTCAGTCTATCTTCAGTCTTGGATACAGAGCCAAAACAATTTTCTACAACCAGAATAACATTCCACGGAACTCACCCATAGTAACCGTTGTTAATAGGAATATAATAATTATGTGCCAAGTCAATTATGGAAAACCTTTCCAGGGTTTTCTACGTAAACAATACTCAGAAATAGTTTGAGACAATAGTGTGTGTTTTGGTGAAAATTCCCATAGTATATACCCTGTTTCCCCCACAAATAAGACCTAACCTGAAAATAAGCCCTAGTATGATTTTTCAGGATGCTCGTAATATAAGCCATACCCCAAAATAAGCCCTAGTTAAATGAAACCCTGCCCTCCACCATTGTGCCGCATTGTGCGGCAACCAGAAGATGAAGATGACTGTAAAAGAAAACAACCCCTGAAAATAAGCCCTTATGTGTTTTTTGGAGCAAAAAATAATATAAAACCCTGTCTTATTTTGGGGGAAACACGGTAGCATGCTAAGTAAGCATACAGTCCTGTGCCACACAGAGGTTGAAAACATACAGACATACTGTGTACTTAGGTGCAAGTCAAACTGAACACATTTCCAAGTAAACATGCAGAGGACTGCATCGTTGGTTTGACAGGAGTATATAGTTGTTGGTGACCATAAACAAGAAGTCATAAGAAAATCATTTTCACTTAAAAAACACTTTCTGGTTTAAAAATTCAGTAAATATTTTGCTAAAACGTATTTGGGGAACATACCATGTTTTAGAAGAGAATCATACTGGAGGTTTGATTCTCCTGTTTTTTCCAGAAGCAAAATAATAATAATAAATCATGTAGAAAACAGGTTTTTGGTCCAGGGCCCCCACAAAAACAACCTTGTTAGGCCATGTAATTCCAATTGCCTTTCAAACTTAGCCTTCACTGAATGTTTTGCGTGTTGTTTGAGAGCACAGCCCAGGGTTGAGCTACAAACTGAGCACATAGTTCACCTCTTTCACCACTACACCCAAGGGCTATTACATAACTACCACAAAAATGGTCATCAGATGAATTATTCAATGTGGAGAGTTAAAAGAGATTTGCAGGAAGCGATATAGATCTCGTGTAGTGGCAATCAACATTTGGCTTCGACTTCAGTAAAAATTGCACTTTCATCTGCTGCTTAATCATATTTCTGAAGAACAGATCAAAATCTCTCTCAGATGCCCTTTCAGTTGAGGAAATTAGGATAACAACTGAAGGATGTACATACACTGATTTGTAAGGACATGGAAGAGCAACTGTAATCCCATCTGACTCCAGAGCAAAAATCTCTCTTAGATGCACTTTCAGTTGTTCAAATGAGGATGCTAAATGCAAGATGCATGCACATTGATTTAAAAGAATACCTTTGTCTCCAAGAGCAACTGTAGTCCTATCCGACTTGAGGTGTTTGTAGCTTTTTAACGTATAATGATATTCTGTACACAAAGCAATTTGCTGACTAGAATTGTCCACTGAATTGTATAAATAATATGTAAATTCTCTTCTTTACTACAGCAGGTAGCATTTAAAGCAACTTTTATTAAGGTCCCTGCATCTGCAGCATTACTAGTAATTCCATTTCCTAGTTACTCTTTGGATTTGAAGATACAGCACTGAATATCAGAATATTTATTCTGCCTTGGGACTGGGCTTCCTTAAGCAAATTTAGAAGTATCATTCCCTCATCCATAATTTATGACAGAATAATCAAGAATAGCTGATAGGGAGGTAGTGACATGTTTGCCATATCTACCACAGACAGAAAGGACCTTTTGCATATTTATCTTGATATTTAGCCCATTAATGATATGAAGAACAGATACAAGTAAGCAAATGATAGTCCATGATCACAATGATCTGGCATGTTTTTAAAAATTGCTGATGAAAGAGAAAGATTATTTGTTGGTTTCTACTAATTTTTCTGTACCTCATACTTGTTTTCTTGTTATCAATTAGTTGCAGTTTTGAGGAACAACATCATAACTACATTGTTTTACAATTTTACCTTATTTAAATATACTGTAGCTTATCTTATTTTACAATATGGTAATTTTAAGCATCTTTTATAATTATAGGTGGTGGAATTAATTATTTATTATTTAAAATTTTTTTACTCTACCTTCCTCCTTAAAAGGATCCAAGACTTCCTAAAAACCAGAGGAAGGTTATCATACAATTACAGTAATGTGTCGGCTCATGCTGTTCTTTTTTCTGTTGTTTAGTGCTGTGTTGTGGGTATTGAGGCGAAAACACCGTAGACAGAAAGGGATACGTTTTCTACCACCTTCTAGCATTTGAAGTTTTAAAAGTAAGGTAAAGGTAAAGGTTCCCCTTGACATTTTTTAGTCCAGTCGTGTCCAACTCTAGGGGGCGGTGCTCATCCCATTTTTCAGGCCGTAGAGCCAGCGCTTGTCCGAAGACAGTTTCCGTTGTCACGTGGCCAGCATGACTAGGGAACGCTGTTTTACCTTCCCACCGAGGTGGTACCTATTTATCTACTTGCATTTGCATGCTTTCGAACTGCTAGGTTGGCGAGGAGCTGGGACAAAGTGACATGGATTCAATCTTACAACTGTTGGTCTTCTGACTCTGCAGCACACAGGCTTCTGTGGTTTAGCCTGCAGCGCCACCACATTTCAAAAGTAACTAACAGTAATTTTCACATCCTTTGAGAAATGATAAATCATAACTTTTGAGTATGGCTATAATGATAATCCACTTTTGAGCCTTGGAACTAAAACAGTAACTAATTACTTTTTTTCAGAAAAGATGTTTTCAAGCTCCAAAACAAATATTTCATAATCCTTCAACATTGAACTTCATCAAAGATATTAGAAAACTGCTCCCACTTCTCAATGAAGCATTCATTCTTATCAATTAGTGTGTTTTATTTTAAATAACCTCAGCAGAAGTACCATTTTTTACATCGTAATCATGTTCAGGAAGGCTAGAGGTGAAAGAAATTATTTACCAGACAAAGTAGCATTTTACAGATGGAAAGGCAGCTCTTTTCTTAAAAGTTTGCCTCGCTTAGTCCATGACTCACCCAGTAACATCTGACAGAAAATAAGTGGGAGGAAGTGTTTGGCTTACTTAAAATATTTGCCAGTGGATGAATCACCAGTCCTTTTTCTTCTCTATTTTACATAATAAAGGAAAGACAGGAAGGATCTGGTGATGGGGTGCAGCAGGGGAAGGAAGGCCTGGAATTTCAAAATGCAGCAAAATTTTGCACTCAAAATGCAAAAATAACTTACCGCAGATAGTTATTTCTTTGGCATAAGAGGTTGACAGATAAGTGATGTTTGGCATCTGCTGAAGGACCTTTCTGGTCTCATGCAACAGTTGAAGCACATAGCGAGCATGAAGCTTCTGCGCAGAGTAATACACAAAGACAGAAACAAGCTGTTATGGCAATAATTGGCAGGAGTCCTTCACCAAAGCTAAGCAGCAGCCTTTTTTCAGCCTTTGGATGTCCAGATGTTACCATTACCCCTAGCAACTGGCATGTTGTGGGGATGATGGAAAAAGCAATCCAACAGATCTGGAAGAGTGCCATTCTGGAAAAGGTTGGCTTCATATATAGACCAGGTTGGATATGGTTGGACTGCTACTTCTATGATAGCTGCATAGTTCCTACCTATAACATAATGGCTCTTGTCTGCTTAACAAAAACCATTGCTGCTGTCTTGCACAACTGAGCAGATGGCAGAGATCACTAATACAGTTGCAGTGCTGGGGTCCATACTTATTAGAAATGAGATCAATATTGTGAACATATTTACCACCCATTAATTGAGAAACTAGGAGCTGAGAGGATAAGTTAAAGGTAGTCTACTTTGCCACTTGGAGACATCACCCATCTTTACATCCCCACAAGAGGTAGTTTAATCTTCCCACCCCTGGAATCAACAACAACAGAAGGATAATTCCAGAGTTCTTTGCAGAAGGACCAAATTGTAAAGGCAAGGAAGCATCATGGTGGGCAGGGGCCCTGCTTCAACAAGATTGTGGTTTTATTATTATAATATATATTTTTCATAGTAATTGTTTGTCTTTTATAAGCAGAATGGATTATTGATAGCATTATTCCTCTCATCCTGTTTTTTTTTTAAGAAATTATACCTATTTAAATTTTAAATAAATAATAATGCATTTCAGAGGAAATTCAACTCCAACTAATGATTTCATAAAGAATCAAAAATAGAACATTAACTAGGAGAAGAAGAAAACACAACATTTAACATTCACAAGTTAGGCAGTGGTGGAAATGCGAGCAGTAGTAAGAGGGGAATTTAAAAGTGGAATATTGCTAGGGACCAGAGAGAGATAAAGTATAATACCATTCAGTCAGTAGCCAGAACTTGCCTGTTGATGCTTGAAAGCCTCAAGAAGCACATCTGTGTCAGCAACAGTGAGGGGAAAACAAAGATGAGGGCCATGGTAGGAGGCAGGCACTTCTATTGTCCTTTCATACTCTCTCATTGCAAGATCTGAGCTGCAAACATCAGAACTGGAGAAAATGTGAGAGCCAACATCTACAGAGAAAACAGAAAAGCAACTTATGAATATTTATTTTTAATTGATAGCAAGGCTGGGACTTCAGTTAATGACAAACCCCAGCCAGAATCCTATCATGTAGTTGCACCTGCAGGAGGCAAGCGGTATAAGTGCAGTGGTTTCTTGCTGGCAATTAACAAATCCCTGCTTAAATTCTCAGATGTGCAGCAACCCACCAGACAGGTGCATACCTGAACTTTAAAGTAAGGACTCATTAATCAGCAGAGGGAGGCTGTCTCAAGTTAAACCAGTCAAGGTATTGCTTTTTTAAAAACATTTTATTAGCTTTTCAATCTATCTACATTGGTTTGTGCTTGTCAAACATCGTGTTACATGCTTTGCTTACAATTATTTGTTTTTTACATCTCAGTGTCTTCCCAGTTGTCCCCCCAAATTCCAGACATCTTTCAGACATTCAAACCATATCATGTACATATTTTAGTATATAATATGACTACTATCATAATATTACTCTCATAGTGTACAATATTCTCAAGGTCTTCTAATAACATTCTTATTGAAAGTGGTTCCAGATCCATGCCCCAGCTTTATATCTAGTTTAGTTTACCTAAAATGAAAACCCACCATAGTACATCTTTACCCTGATTAGAGCTCCCTTATTTCAATTTAATTCTCCTTTTTAATATAAAGGATATACCCCTTTACAATTTCCGATGTTAAATATATACATGTTTTTCAACATTAAGGGGCCCCTTCTTGTTTTCCCCTTTTTCATCTTTCTAAGCAATTCCCTCTCTCATTTCTCTTTTTTCACTTTGTGTTTCTGTGTCTCTAAGCATTCTGCCATCTTTCATGCCCTCTGAAACCATTTTGTGCATCTAATTTATGTCCACTACCTCTTTATGCCCTTGGTCTATCTTCAATAGATCTTCCAGGCTTTTTGTTGTTGTTAATTTTGCTGATTTTCTCCCCTTGTTTTCCCTTAATACTCTCTTCAGATCCAAGATTGACGTTGTTTCTCTTAGGTTTTCCCCA